TAATTATATCAGCGAACAATTGCTGTCGATACAACGAATGTTATACATTCGTGGCCTAGAACATTGACAATATTGTCAAATTGATATTAACAAATACAATGACATTATGATCTTTCAAATCGTTCGAATAATTATAAAGAATTTATGAGTTGTGTATTTCTACGATATTTTCACAATAAGAAAAACATTTTATATCTATATGTGCATACGTTAAAATTGACAAATAAAAGTTAAAATATCTGCCAAACTAATGGTTTCTCGATATGAATAAATAAATATCTTTTTCTAGCGAATATCCAACTGGATGAACTCTATAATATTATAACATACGGTGTCATTAAAAAAACTCAGTCACCTCGATATCTCAGAAAATGTAAGACATTAGAAATTAAAATCGCGTCGGTCCGATCAGACTCTTGAAATGCAACATATTTCATTTAAGATATTTTTCGATAAAACCAATATAGGTATCGACTTATCTTAGATAATACACACTTCTCATTAATTTAACCTGTATACGATATATCATATATTTATCTAATTATTACTTGTTTTCTGTTACAGGTGAGTACTTTTATTTGTTTAATCTCGTCCGAGAATCGGATCGATCGATCGTGCGAAATAGTCGGCCGCAGGTGAGTGTTATCTCAGCACGATGTTTTGCCCTTAATTATGACGGTAGACGAGCAAAGTCGTCAGGTGTATTATTACGACGTTGAATAAACGGTATCAGTGGTATGATACCGCCAATTTGCGTCCGGTCTCTAAATTGTTGTTACAAAGCGTTACACCGCAGTATAATGCCCCATAAACGATCGAAGTTTCATATAAAATCGTCAGACGAAAGTGCACCGGACGTCATGAAACCGACGAGGCGAGTACAATGTCTTGTTGCACTGTAACAAGAAATTAGGTGCAATTTGTCGGCGAACAAGGTATTTCCCGAGCAAAGCTTCACTTTTCGCGTCAACATCTTCTTATCGTGAAATCGTGCGTATAAACTGATTTCGCCCTTTATATTTCGATTTATGGTTACGAATTCTAAAATCTTTGAAAAATAGATCTTCGAAACTTGTGACGTATTTCATGTGTACGTATATATATTTTGGTATATTATGATTAAGCGAAGTTTTAATACAGAAACTACGTATATTTTATATATATTACAATTGAAATTGTTGAAACGAATAAACGTTCGAGTTTGCCTGCGCAAAGGGTTGAAATATCGGCGATTCAACTTATGATGCGTGAAACTAGCGTTTAATATATGAAATTTTGTTAATGATGACGAAATGATCTAGCCATTTATTTTCAGATATATCTGACTCTAATTCTTAAATATCTATTATTTTAAATTAATATACTAATTCTTAGATATTTAGTGGAAGTAGGGCAAAAAGGTCAAGACAAGGATAATAGTTTGAAATTGAAAAAACAGATAAAAATATTTATCTTTGATACATATATATATTGTCTACTTTATTATTACAAAGGAAGAAAAATATTTATCTTCCGAGTTTACTCGGGAGTGCGGTACAGTTATCCGAAGAACACGTCACAGTGACAAGTACGTTCAGTCGTACGGAAGATGACACGTTCTCGGGATGACAAGGTGATTAAACATGCACGAGGCACCTCCCAATATACTTTATCACGGGGCCATATGATCATATCAACGAACAAGTGTCCGGAGATGGAAATTTCAACGGTTCACCATGAGCCGGTATTAACGAAAATTTTGAATGATTTACGCAGACTCAGCGCGAAATACGTATATCTAAGTCGAGATTCAATAATTCTTTCAGTCGGTAAATGTCCTACAAATGCTATCTTTACGTTATTGAACGAATCTCGTCAAATAAATTTCACTCCAATGACAACTTATCTTCGTATAGTTACTGGTTTGTTAAAAATCTTTTTCTTTCAATGTTCGCTTAGTATAACATTTATATTTGGTTTAGACAACAAGGAATACGTAATTAATATAGTATTAGGTTGACCGAAAAGTTTCTTTCGTTTCAGAAGATGATAATAGATGAACAGCAATTTCTGTTTTATATTATTTTATTGAATTAGATATGATCCATTTCGTTATATTTCTATTATTATATTTGTGCATAATTCAATAAACTAATATAAAACAAAAAACATTGTGCGTCTATTATTTCCTTATAAAACGAAAGAAACTTTTCGGACAACCTAATACATCGGAACGCAGATTGTCAGAGCATTATAATTATTGACCAAACAAGATATTATTTTTGTTAACGACTTTTCCACCGTTCGAATGAAAATATCTGTGTTATCGGCGAGTATTGTTCGTTCAAAGATAACAAAAAAATAAAAAAAAAAAATAAAAGAAAGAAAAGGAACAGGTGCCAATTCTGTAACCACGAGCCACAGCAATGAGAATTTATGGATTGGTGAATTGTGAATGGAACGTTTGCAATTGATTGGTTTCAAATGATAAAGCTAGTAATGTGCCGTGTATATTGGATAAACTCATAAATGAAAATTCGATTACGGTTTGTGAATGCCGTATTCGGTTTGTTCATCGAACCCACTATTTTTTAATTTCCGTGTTATTCGATTATATTTTCAAGTTACAGTAGATCGTGCCAATAAATGTTTCTTGTTTTTGCTATTGTTTCTACTAACTTTTTTACAGAGAATATTCTATAGTTTTCATCCGTCATTATTCAAATTATCATACAGTTTCGTTATAAATTACGATATTCATAATTGGAAGCCTACATTTCTAGATTTTTTATTATTACAGTTACGACCTTTTTAGTAACGCAATGGGGTCAGCTTATTTTTATCGCAAACGCGAGTAAATTTGACACTTTTTTTTAACGAAGAATTTCATAATTTTAAATCAACAACGAAGTATTGAAACTATCATGATAATAGTTCAAACATCAAAAGATTTTGTTACGAAGAAATCTAAGTGCAATTGCTCGAATTATCGAAAATACCATAATTACCTCAACGACAAATTTGACGTTATTGCGACCAATTTGAATGGAGTCGTTCGAAATCTAAATCGATCTAGTTAAAAATATTATGTTCGTTGCCTAAACAAGTCCACTTTCATAAATACGAAATGGTCTACCTCTGAGATAATTCGTAATATCGTCGTATGCATTTAAAACTATTTATTACTGTTTTACCGCCACTAAGTACAATATCCAATTTGCGGTAGTATACGAATGGCGTCTGAGCTCAACGGGGATGTTTTCTAAGACGGTGCGTTTCTCGGAACCGTCTCTCACCGAATTGCTGGCTAGCGAACGTTGACTTAATGGGTGGTAATTTAAGGTCGGAGACTTAATGGTTACGAGAAAATCGACCCGTTGGGAACACAACGGGCAATGGAGTTATGGCAGTTGAACACGAGTGAAAGCACAGGATATGAAGAACTTAGCTACCATTAAGCGATGGCAGATGCACGGGAGATTGACAAAGTTGCGTGTCTGCAACCTCGATAACTATTCGCTGTCGTGTTTCTTAAAACGGAAGGATTGGGTTGAAATAGAAGAAAAGAGTAGTATATCAGAGTGACTATAATTTCAAGTTTGAAATTTATTATAATTTTCACGTTCCATCAATTCTAATTCTTATAGGGGATTTATTAGAAAAATATCATATTAATGAATTCTATGATTTCGGATTTCATACGACTGAAATATATAAATATTGTTATTATTATTGTACTGATAAAAATTATCAGTTTCAAGCTTTCTAACTGTAGGGAAAAAATTTTGCACGAAAAAATATTCAATAAAAAGATACGGGTAAAATAAACGATATCGGAAAAATTCTACTAAAATGACGCTTTTTATTCAATTATTTAAGTCATGTAGTTAAGTCATATAGAGTGACTTTCGTAATTAAACACAATAAATAACCACCTTTTGTCTATTTTTAATTAACCATCAGTTGATTTGTTTCTCATTAACTTATTTTTAAATAGTCGATCACTAAGAAAAGTTTCTATCCAATTATTGCACACATGATAATCCTAGGTTGGAGAATTGCTTGTTTAAATCTTATGAATTCTTATGAATTCTTCTGAACGTCACGTCTAGACATATTTTCCATACTTTTCAAGGCCCACGTCTCTTTGATTCTACGGTTATTTGAAGTTTCGAACTGACCACAGTTTACTGTAGCTGTATAGTAGCATTTCTACGTGTTCTCGCGTGTGTTATGAACTAGTTGGCATAATTTTCGCACGAGGTAATTACACGGAACTTTGCAATTTAATTCTCAACAGACATGACATCATTTTTATTCATCTTCCATAAATGAGAAACTGCATCTCACTTGAAAAGTTTGTCACGAATCACGTCTGCGTCCCAGTGACAAAGAAAATCAATCATCGCTTGCCACTGCTCCACCTTTAGTTCTTACTTGTTTGTCTTCTTTTTTTTTTTTTATATTTTTCTCGTATTATCCGAAGTCTGTCAGATGTTTGATACCGCATAACGAATCGTGATAAAAATCGCGGTTGTATTACCACGTTGATACGGCTTTTCCTGTTTTCCCCTCCCCTTTATTTTCCTTTTTGTCAATTTTTTGAATGAAACTTCAACGTTGTGTGAAACGATATGCCAAGTGTGATTACTTTTTTTACCCAGCGCGATGTTATCGCAAACGCGTGAAATAGTGCTTTAGAACTTAGCGCTTAGTGCTTTGGTACTTTGGTGCTTTAGCACTTAGTACTTTGGTGGTACTTCGGCACTTCGGTAGTACTTTAGTGCGTTAGTACTTCACTACTTCAGCACTTCAGTACTACAACTTCAACTTCAACTTCAACTTCACCTTCACCTTCACCTTCAACTTCAACTTCGACTTCAACTTCAACTTCAACTTCAACTTCAACTTCAACTTCAACTTCAACTTCGACTTCAACTTCGACTTCAACTTCATGTTCTTTAGTACTTTAGTTCTTTGTAGTATTTTAGTAGTACCTTCATACTTTGGTGGTTCTTTAGTGCGTTAGCACTTCAGTACTTCAGCATTCAGCACTTCACTACTTCACTCCAGCACTTCAGTACTTCAGTACCTCACTACCTCAGCACTTCAGTACTTCAGTACTTCACTACCTCAGCGCTTCAGTACTTCAACTTCGGTACTTTTGTACTTTAGTACTTCAGTACTTCGGTACCTCATAACTTCAGCACTTCAGTACTTCAACTCCAGTACTCCAACTTCAGTACCTCAACTTCAGTACTTTGGTACTTTGTTGCTTTGCTGCTTTAATACTTTGGTACTTTGGTGTTTTGATGCTTTGGTGTTTTGATGTTTTGGTACTTAGTGTTTAGTGTTTAGTGTTTACTGTTAGTGTTAGTGTTAGTGTTAGTGTTAGTGTTAGTGTTAGTGTTAGTGTTAGTGTTAGTGTTAGTGTTAGTGTTAGTGTTAGTGTTAGTGTTAGTGTTAGTGTTAGTGTTAGTGTTAGTGTTAGTGTTAGTGTTAGTGTTAGTGTTAGTGTTAGTGTTAGTGTTAGTGTTAGTGTTAGTGTTAGTGTTAGTGTTAGTGTTAGTGTTAGTGTTAGTGTTAGTGTTAGTGTTAGTGTTAGTGTTAGTGTTAGTGTTAGTGTTAGTGTTAGTGTTAGTGTTAGTGTTAGTGTTAGTGTTAGTGTTAGTGTTAGTGTTAGTGTTAGTGTTAGTGTTAGTGTTAGTGTTAGTGTTAGTGTTAGTGTTAGTGTTAGTGTTAGTGTTAGTGTTAGTGTTAGTGTTAGTGTTAGTGTTAGTGTTAGTGTTAGTGTTAGTGTTAGTGTTAGTGTTAGTGTTAGTGTTAGTGTTAGTGTTAGTGTTTAGTGTTGGTGTTAATAGCACGAGACTTAAAGGACAGTGTTGTCTCTGTTACAAATACACGCACGTTTTATGTTAATTGGTGAAGTAACTTTACATATGAGAACGACGAATATAATTTCTCTTTAATTGACAGAACGTCGAAATCTTCAACAAATAATTTTCATCTCATTCGATGTTTAGATCGTATTAAAATCAGTTTTAGTATCATCGTAGACAAGTTTACGTAATGTCGATATTTTTCTTATCGTAGACAAAAATTGAATTCTCCATTTTCCATTATCAGTAGCTGAGACAAACGTTACCGTATTGGGAATCAGGCGTTCGGGACAACGTCTCGTTACGATACTCGCGACGTTGATTCTATTCGTGCCATTCGATTACGTGTTTATTTTCCTGACATACGCTCTGTTAATCCGCGGTGCGGAGAACTTGCGGGAAGGAGCGAAGGTAGACTCCTCATCGGCAGAGATGCGCGGCTTTTATCCGACTTTATTCCCGAAAGTTCGTCGAGGTCATAAAGCGTGCGCGCGAATTTCGAGTTAAATCAAATTCGTTCCGCGGAACGGTCCTCCCTGGGAAGCGTTTCACGCACGCAAACGAGATTCCACGGCGACATTACCAATCGTTCATTCCGCACGGTGCACTATTCATGGGGTTATAAGGCCGCTTCTTCGTATCGCGAACACACGCGTGATCGCGGCGCGAGGATCGTCGAGAGGAAGGGACGAGGAAGGAAAAGAAAGGACATAACACAAGCGCGGCAGAAGGGAGAAGGGACGAGAATTGGCGCGGCATAAATTATTAGGCGCACTTTTAACGATTTTTCAAGCAACGATTCTGATTAACCGTGAAGGGACGGTTCGATAATTTGCGGTCACAGTCACATTTAAATCGCGTACCTGCAGTGTACGCGAAAGCAAGTGTACCGAGTTTTTATCGTTATTACTAACGCGAGAAGAAGCAGGGTACTGGAGATGAAGAAGAAGAAAAAAAAGAAGAAGAGGAAGATGGAAAAGTACGAGCTTTCGTTATCGCCAATCCAATAAATATCGGGGAGAGCAACGAAGTAGGCGCCTAATCCCCTATAACTCCGACTTGTCCGTATCTTCGGTTGAAAAGTATTATATGTAGGAACTTGAAAGAGCGGCGAATAGTTTCCGAGAAGGAACCGGCACACGGAGAGGAAGAGGAGGTTACAGAGCCGCGTATAAAGACAGAAATGCTCGCGTGAAAAAGCGTCGTCCTTGGGTTGGTTCGCGTGCGAATCGTCCGCTTGGATTTCGGTTCGTGTTCTCCATTTGAGGCCATAGGGCGAGGAGGCTCGATTTCCGCACACGAGACCGTGTCCACTCGCGCCCTCCGTCATGTAACGTGCAGACTGGTAACACGCCGGAGATGAATGCGCTGTGAACGTCAACTTCTCTCTCTTGGGGCTATGCAAGAGAGTTCCTCGATATCTAGAACTTCGTTCCGTGGAAGTTCTTTGCTGGAAACGTAACTCCTTCTCGATACGGTCGCTAGAAATTCGTTTTTGATCGACATCGAAATTCGCAGGTGTTTCTCGCGTATAGAAAATCGCTTCGGCGACCAGGAAATTGGCTTTGAAATTATAATGTTACAGGAGAGAAAGAGGAAAATCTAACAATCTATTATAACGATAAAGTAGAAGGTAACGAAAGGAAAGTAACTAGGTGAAAATAATTGATTTCATAGCACGGAGTTACACGAGTTAATGTAACATGCGAACATTAGGACGAAATGAAAGGAAACTATTACGTGCATATCAAAGTTGCACGAGAGAAATTGTGTGTTATATTTTGTACAAAGGGTGGATTATAAAATAAATGGTCTTACGTTATCTGACAGCTTTAAAACCTATGCGATGCCCGAGAGAACGCCACAGTGACAAAGATCAATGTTATATTATCCTCTCTTGGGATCTAGAACCGTGTTATGCAATAACCAGAGGTTTCTACCTGTACCGGATAGCGCAATGTTAAAAGAAAAGGATTTCATATTGCACAGGATTGAAACGTCGACGGATGTAGAATTCATTCTGGTTTTGATACTATTAGAACTGAAATTTTAAATTTGATTCGCTATTTTACTTTGTATTTTACTGCAGAACTTTCTACTGTCTGTGAAGATACTTTTGTTAGTAATTCTTTTTTCGAATGCAATTTGTAATGAGTTTTACGTGATACTTTTAAATCGACTTAAATACAAATATTTCAGATCAATTACGATCACATATTTCAAGTGTTAAGTGTTATCATCTTTTTAGTTCCATAATTAACGAAGCCATAACTTTATTCCCTGTCACGATACGTTTTCATAACTCGAGAACACGCAATCTTCTCGTATCGATAAATACAAAACGCTATTTCATAGAAACAAGCAGTGGATCGACTCGCACCAATGTGATTCTCGGCCCTCCAATTAAATACATCGTCTATTCGTGTCTTTAACTCGTTAAACGATAAAAACTCTGTTTCTATAAAGTGAGACACGCTTCGGAACCGTCGTCTCCACGAAACAAATCACTTTATCCGTTACAAACAATTAAATCGATATCCCAAACACACCAACATTACCATGTTACACAATGCTTCTTGTAAGAACGTCGCCCAATTCAATTTGATAAATCATAGCTCCCCTGGATTTCCATTACCGATGCCGCGCTTGTCGTTAACAGCACAGTTTCACGCTGTAGAATAATCGGAACAAGCAAGCGAACCCACCTTTATGAATTTCTAATCGTGCAAAAGATTAATCCCGCAACGCGGTCGAAATTGAAACGACACGGTATCGCGAGGACAGCCCCTGAAATTTCATTGTCGTCGGCTTTGACGGCCGCTACTAACGGATTATTACGATTTTCGTAATTGACAGGTAACGACACGGCGCGGTTGCATCGCCAGCGTACATCGAATAGCGTCAATTTCGGCCACGATACGACCGGCCGATCGTTATTCATTACGTTAATTCGCGTCGCCTCTTCTACCTTGATCCTCTTGTTCCGCCATTATACGCGTTTCGTCGAGCGAGAAAGTGTAAATATCCGGTGACCGGTAGTTGGCGGTTTCGTGGATCACCGCAACGAGCTCGCAAAATCTAGAACGAGAAAGGGACGATGTTGGAAAGAACGACGAACTCGTGGTCCGATCGGAATAATCGGCCGACAGTCGAACGTACTTCGGTTTATTAGCGGTGGCTCGCGGTGGTGATTCCGTTGCAGGTGGATCGACGACGAGCAGCTCATTACGAGCCGATAATGGCAACAGCATACTATCGCCAGGAACGACCATTCTCTATGCGTTTACTTGGCTCCGGTCCAGATTCCATAAATATCATAATTTTCGAGTAGCCTCGCGACTCGTTGAGTTTCCAGTGTGTTCAATTGATTGGATAGGAATTTGATTAGATAAATATGAAAAGATACGGGTCATAGTAATTTGTGCAGGTCGGTTGTTGTTCGTTAGCTGGAGTTGCCTTTGCGCAGAGACTGTCGTTACCGGGTTGAGGTCGCATAATTGATCTCACCGCGCTCAGACGTGCACGTTCGATGTTTAATGTTTGGTACGCGATCCTGTGTAGAACTACGTATCTCGCAAATGCCTTGAAACTGTGGCTTGCGACGTAGTTTGCGCGGTAAACGTAGTTGTTGTTTCTATAAAATGTCGCAATAATGTTGTTGAATGTGATATTATGTTTTTCCATTTGTACTTATCACGAATCATTTTTCATTACCTTTTGAAGCAAGACTCTAAGTACACATGGATTCGCTAGAATATTATAGTTATATATTTACCTAAATTTTTAATTTTCTAGTAATTACATCATTTCATTATTTTGTATCTAAAAAGGTTGTCAGTTATAGAATTTTTCGAATGCTGCTTTTGCAGTTTTCTTGAGATACGATCAAAGATATGAAAAGGATATAGGTTAAAATATGTGCAATCATTTACATAATTCAGAACCAAATACTGACAAATGCAATAGGAAAATTAACGATACAAATGTCGAGAATGATTGAAACGTTTATTAACAAGCGATATACGTATGATATAAACGACAAAGATATTTAACTTAATTGTACATAATTAACGAGTCTGTTATTGATTGATCGATTGATTGTATATGTATCTTTGTAATTTAAGGTTTCAAATGATACAACGATTGCTAAAGGTTTTAATAATTTCCTAATAATTATTAAGGTTTATCTATTTTTCATGGATGAATACGGTGTGTACACATGGTTTTTCCGCCAGACACTTGGACACGCGTTAAATGGCACGCGTTACTGTGACACATGCCAGGCTGGAAATCATTGGCTCGTTTCGTGTATCGATAATTGCATTTACCGGCAAGCGAATCACACCGTTCCGCCGATTTGTCTCGTACAATTTGATCGAGGCTTCATTACGGCCGCCAGCTTTGTTTGGTTTTATCCGACGCCGCTTCTCTACGTAAATCCGACACGCGACTCTCGTATCTCGACATGTCTA